GGGGGGGGGGGGGGGGGGGGGGCACCATTTTTCTGATATTCAGTGGTTCTCAAATTTGTGGGTACCTCCGGACAGCTAAATTTTTGTCCCTGAAGAAAGAGTTATCTCTATTCCAAACAAATTTGCATAATTTCTCACTCTGAACTTCATTATTTATTATATTAATTCTGATTTTTAAGCATGGTTAAGCCTTAAATAGAAGTAAAATAGTTTAAAACTGATTTTTAAAATTTAGCCAAACAAACTTTAAATGTTATTTTTAGGTAAATTTTTCTATCATAAGTAGTTGATTTTTCTTTTGACGTTCTTTTTTCAACCTCTTATTAGCTGAACATTTGTATTTGGATAGTATGGTATTTCCAAATTGTTTTTATCGAAATTGGATGACCCCATTGAAAATTGAAGGCGCATTGTTACATTACAAGGTGCTATTGTCACATGTCCATAGAAGCTAAATATTATTTTAAAAGAAAGTTGGAAAATTGAAAAAAGTTGAGTAACATAGAATCGACAATTATCTACCTTAGATATGAGATATACTTCACCTACTCGTCTCGGATCGGAGGACTACTGTGCAACAATGTTGTATGGCTCAACTTTCGGAAAAATTTATGGAAAAAATATTGAAAAATCGGCTCTCTTTCAAGAAAAATTTGACTTTCCAATTATCGATTTTTAAACCTAACCTGGTCGTTGACTTGAACAATACGCCCAGTCAATACAAATCTGGTTTAACTGAATGGATATTCATATATCCTTAAATGTTTTTTGGTTCATGTCAAAATCTGAGAACAAAGTAGTACGGTAAAATATTTTATAGAATTATTATTAAAAAAATTCCTATTAAAGAAAATCGATGCTTAATGTGTTAAATATAACTGGCGACGGTTAAAACCGTCTCTTTAGTACTTAATTCCTACACATGATGAAAGTGTTTGGCTAGAAAAGTTAAGTATTTTGATAATTTTCTTAATAAGGCTGATATTTTAAGATGAAATTTTAAATCCGACATATTATCAGAGTCTTTTAAACTCTAACGAACAATTTAATTCGTCTAATAAATTGTAATAAATTTTTATTTTTATTTTTATTTAATGAGGAATGCACTTCAAGAAAACTTACCAATGCGGTGTTCTCAACTTAATTTCCAACATGAAAAACTTTGATTTTTCTTTTGACGTTCTTTTTTCAACCTCTTATTAGCTGAACATTTGGATTTGGATAGTATGGTATTTCCAAATTGTTTTTATCGAAATTGGATGACCCCATTGAAAATTGGAGGGGCATCGTTACATTACAAGGTGCTATTGTCACATGTCCATAGAAGCTAAATATTATTTTAAAAGAAAATTGGAAAATTGAAAAAAGTTGAGTAACATAGAATCGGCAATTATCTACCTTAGATATGAGATATACTTCACCTACTCGTCTCGGATCGGAGGACTACTGTGCAACAATGTTGTATGGCTCAACTTTCGGAAAAATTTATGGAAAAAATATTGAAAAATCGGCTCTCTTTCAAGAAAAATTTGACTTTCCAATTATCGATTTTTAAACCTAACCTGGTCGTTGACTTGAACAATACGCCCAGTCAATACAAATCTGGTTTAACTGAATGGATATTCATATATGTTTTTTGGTTCTTGTCAAAATCTGAGAACAAAGTAGTACGGTAAAATATTTTATAGAATTATTATTAAAAAAATTCCTATTAAAGAAAATTGATGCTTAATGTGTTAAATATAACTGGCGACGGTTAAAACCGTCTCTTTAGTACTTAATTCCTAAACATGATGAAAGTGTTTGGCTAGAAAAGTTAAGTATTTTGATAATTTTCTTAATAAGGCTGATATTTTAAGATGAAATTTTAAATCCGACATATTATCAGAGTCTTTTAAACTCTAACGAACAATTTAATTCGTCTAATAAATTGTAATAAATTTTTATTTTTATTTTTATTTAATGAGGAATGCACTTCAAGAAAACTTACCAATGCGGTGTTCTCAACTTAATTTCCAACATGAAAAACTGTAGAAATTTAGACTTATCAACAACTTAACCCGTTTTAATGATGCGGAGCCATCAATAATAAGTGTAATGTCCGTAAAAAAAAAACTAAAATTAATTACTCCAAAACTCACATTTTTAAATTTAAAAAAAAAAAAATCTTAGAAGCATTTACTAAGATCAACTAAAAATTTTCTTAACTTGAAGATGGAGTTCACATTTGATCCCGCACACAATTTTTTTCCTTTTCTTTCTTTTTTTTTTTCTCTCTTTTTTTATTTTTTATTTTTTATTTTTTATCTTTTTTTTAAGGAAAAGGGTTTCTTACCGGACAGCAATACAAAGATTAGTTCCAAAGTCCGTGATTTAATTATTTTTTTATTTTGATTCATTAAAAAATTATTTATTTCAACATACACATTTACTTATAAGTAGATATTTTAAGCACGGCCAAAACATGCACATTATTCGTTTCAGATAATGTTTTAGGTGGTTGGTTTTATGCATATAGGGGCCTCTTGACATGAGAGGAAAATCATTCCTTCCATAAGAGGAAAATCAGTCTTCTTACTGGGAGACAACTAGGGTTTTATCCAAGAAACAATTTTTGGTCCTACTTTCACGTGAATACCACCTGACGAGCACGTGAAGTAATGAAAAAGAAGCCCTTACATTGTGGAATTGTCGTGCAAGCCGCACGGGACGTGATAAAAAGAGAAGTCCTTGTTCGACATCATACAATAAGATATAGTTTATCCTGAAGCCCCCAGGGCATATTTCCCAGTGGCAGAGGGGAGGGCGGATAGGGCTCAGCGCGGCAGTGTGCAGAGTTCGATTTCCCGCAAGGTGGAATTGGCTTTGTTGCAAGCGGGAGTTACCATATGGGTTAACAGCCTTGGCCTATCCATGTGCTCTCCACCCTGGCTCCTGGGAGGCACATCCTGCGATTTACCTCCTCCACGATGGCCCAGGGCAGGGTCGGTGGGGGCCCTTAAGGTTGGGGTTCAACCTTTTTTTTTAGTTTATCCTGAATTTAACACGAACAAAGTACGATACATCAATCTATTTCATGGTTAGGATTGATTTGCCGGTAGAGGTAGACCAACCCTTGGACTAGCCTTTCGTTTCTGAATAGAGATTGGGCTATGCTTGCTGTACACGAGTGTATAGCAAGGGGTACCGCCCCCTCACATGAGAGGGACTATCATGAGGGGGCTGTAAAAATGTACAGCACTAAGAACTTTCCATAGAGATTACATAATAAACTCGAGCTCTATTATCTCAAAGCGACTTATTTATCGAATTAGTTGTGTCTACTAGGGAAGCTCATCAACATTTTCATATTGATTGATTTATATACTTGTTTTCGACTTTTTACTAAATTAGTCAAATCGTGAATATACTTTGTCATATTTTATCT